CCCAGTATTTTCCAATAATCTCCCAGGACCTCCCATTACCCCCAGTGCCTCCCACTATCCTTCAGTACATCCCTGCACCCTCATAGGATTTTGTATTACTCAGAGTGCCTCCCAGTACCCCAAGTACATACCACTACCCTCCCAGGATCCCCCATCACCTCCAGTGCCTCTCAGTATCACCCAGTGGATCCCAGCACCTTCCCAGGGTGCCCCATTTCCACAGTGCCTCCCAGTAGCTCCCAATATGGTGCCAGGGTTGGTCCCAGCAGGCCAACTGACAGCCCATTAGCCAGTTCCTTGTTCAGGCCAGGTTCTTGGAGTAGATGGGATGTTTTATATTAGACTGAGTAGTTGGGGAAAAGTTCTTAGTAAACTTTCGGACACAATCCTTATTCGATTGGAATAATTCCAATCGAATTTATCATTCAATAATTTGAACGATATGGAAATGGAATCATTTATTCCAGTGTCTCCGTATTCGATTCCACAATCCAAGTACTTAGTGCAGTGGCGTGGGGGTGGGGGTGGGGGGCAGTCAGTTGGCAGCTGGGCAGGGCCGTGTCACACTTTGAGCCAGGCAGGATGGCACTCAGGGGTCTTCAGGACAGTCCCCTGGTGGCATCAACAGGAAATTTGGGGTGGACCGAGAAATATTTTGCCTCCAAATCCCAATTATTCATTTGCAGGGGTGTAGGTTGTAGCCATGTTGGTTTAAGGACATAGGCAGGCAAGGTTCTTTGGGTGAATTTGATATCTTTTATTAGACCAACTTAAATCATTGGGGGGAAAAAACTTAGCGAGCTTTTGGGTTTAAAAACCCGTCATCAGGCTGAGGAAGCCTCTGCAGTTGGTGTGCGCTCTTCCTGGATGGCAGGAATAGCAAAGAAGCCAGAGGCTGGGCTGGTCTGCATGGAAGACAGGCCGTCAGTGAAGATGTAAGTTGAGGAGTCAGTGGGTGAGAGACGGGCTGGGTTGGGGGGAGAAGGGGGATGCATGTAGTAGTTAAATAGTGGGACAGTACCTGGGGAGTCAGAGGTCAGGCAGATTGAAATGTGTCATTAATCCAATGTCTATATTTAGTCCATGATTTTTTGTATCCAGAAGGTTGATAAAGTGAAGTTCATAGGCTCATCTCTGAGAAGTGTTTTGTAAGTTCCCTTTGAGGATTAGAACTGCGAGACGAGAGAGAGAGTGGTTTTCTTGTGAGAAATATGCCCCCACCGGTAACTGGGTATTCCTGTCTTTGATAGATTTCCGGTGAGCATTCATTCTGGTGCGCAGGTGTTGTTTGGTCTCTCATTTATTCATTTATGGCTCTATTCTTGACACAGAGCTGGGGGGGCGGGGAGGGGTGACAGGGCCGCAGGTCGGGAGTGAGGGGTGTCCCAGCCACCTGCAGAGGGATCGGGATTGAGAGCATAGTCAGGGGTAGAAAGGTAAGAAAGATCTATTGACTTAACAAAAATACAACTACCCCATTAGTAACAAAACAAACAACAGCAATTCACATTGGCAACTTATTGGCAGTCCCCTCTGATGCCTGATACACAGCAACCTTCTTTTCCTCAAAGTTCAGTGCAGTCAGGTGTCCCCGAACGACACTGTCCAAAGGGGTACCGGAAAGGACCCTGGGATGCAGTTCTTGGGCTCTTCGAGGTCCATGGGCCCACTGATCCAGGCGACAGCTAACTAATTCTTTTACAGAGCTGTATCTTCCTTCTCCCCAGTTTCCAAATATTGCAGCTCATTTAAAGCTTCTGAATGGTTCTGATAATGTGCAACCACTCAGATTCCTTCTACTTCACCTGACCTTAGACTGACCAATAGCAGTACAAGCCTTGCATTCCTTTGGTAAGGTCATTTTAACTATACCACAGGGCCTTACTACTTCAAGGCTTTGCTAAATTTACTAAACCTTACTTTATACAAGGCCTCACTACATCTTAATCTTTAATTAGGCTTTTAGCAACAACATATAGCTTAATATCTAAACAAATACAGAAAAACACTTAGTTTAATCTTCATAGAGCCTTCAGCAAGCACCTTTATCACACAGTTGTCACAACGGGCACCGGCAGGGCTGGGGGGTCAGGGCACAGTGCAGTGTGGTAGCACACATGGGTGCAGGCTGGACGTGCAGCTCCATCCTCTGTCACTGAGGACCTAAGTAAACATTTCCTGTTGAAGTGTGAGAAGGTTTGTGATACTGCTGCCACTGTCAGCAGGACTCCACCTTACTCAAGCGTTCACCGAGGGTTGAGCCCCAGCCTCTGTTCACTATTGAGACTCAGTCACAGTTCACTGCAAAATGTGTCAAAAAGCCACACCTGGCCACATGAAGCAATAAGTCAGTGAGTCTGTAGCAGATGTACCCGTCCCCTTTGTGACTCCCTCCAGTCCCACCATGCAACTCTGACCACAAGTTCTGCTTCCTGCTTTCGTTACCAAAACAAGCACACAGCTCACCTGCCCAGGACATGCACACACACACACACAAAACCCAACTGTCTGTGACACACAGGGGCACACACACTCTGCAAGGGTTTGGGAAACACACACACATGCTCAACACAAGTCTCTGCAGGCCACACATATACAACCCAAGTGTCTAGGACACACACACACATGCACAGACAGACAGCTCTGAGATGCACCTGGTTCTGGGGTAGGCACCAGGGGCTGTGTACAGCAGGGCTCCTAATGCAGTTGGGCCCCGGGCTGTGAGAGGCTTGGATGCCTGGGCTCTCTGGGAAGGGGAGGAGAGAGCATGGGGGACTGGGAGCCTGGACACCTGGGTTCTTCCTGTTCTCCCCCCAAATCCCCAACCCTGGAGGGTGTCAGAGAGGGACTCAGCCCTAAGTTGCCCTCCAGTGCCCAGCCACACTGCCTTGCACACTGCCTTGTACTGCGTCTGTGCCAGGGCCCATTGTCTCCACTCACCCTGGGCACCGGGTCACACCTGCATCTGCCTCCAGGCTTCCAGTTGCACCCCCTTCTCCCCCAGCACCCAGCTGCCCCGCTTTTCTCCCCATCATGGTAGCATGCATGTGATAGGAGGCAGCAGACATGGGCGTGGGGGAGAGGTGGCTCTCCCCAGAGCAGAGGGTAGCACATGCATGCAGAACCACGTATCCATGGACAGGATGGGGGTGGGTGGGGGGGGCGGTGTCAAAGGACATGTGCATTGGGCTGGAGGGGTGCAAGGGGAGGGGTGGTGAGGCAGAGACCCCCCCCCCAGCCCCTGCTGCCCCCCAGCTCCAGCTAGTGACTCCCTGAGGGAAGTGGATGGGGGTCTCATACCTGTCTGTGAACCTCCCACTGCTGCCCCCCAGCTGTGGATGAGCTCAGGACCCCCAGCCAACTGCATCTGGGAGGCAACTGGGAGCCTTCAGCCATTAGCCATCAGCCACTAAAGGCTGTGGCCCAAGGGGGGCAAATCCACTCCCCAAACTGGAACTGACCCCCCCACACACACACTGGGGCCCTCCACAGTGCCAGCAGGACCAGGGCTGGGGCCTTTAGGGCCAGAGGGACTGGGGGGGCTAGGGTACAACCCCCCAAACACCTGGATAAATCAGGGTGCAGTGATTGAGTAGTTCTCATCATGGGGGCTGTGGGTCGGGAGTGAGGAGCACCGGCAAGGGTGTGCGGGGAGGGGCTGTGGGTCAGGAGTGAGGGGCATCAGTAGGGCTGGTGTGGAGGGGGCTGCCGGTTGGGAGTGAGGGGCACAGGCAGAGCT